ATTGTGGCACAGTGGGGGTCAGCATCTTCGCCTAGGGAACAGTGATAGAATGAGAAGTGTTGAGTTCAGATGCATTTCTTCTCAGGAGTGGGGAGGCAGTGGTGCAGGCTGCCCAAGGAGGGGGTGGAGTGACCATCCCTGGAGGTGTTCAGGAACCGTGTGGATGTGGCACTGAAGGATGTGGTCAGTGAGCATGGTGGGGGTGGGCTGGTGGTTGGACTGGATGATCTTAGAGGTCCTTTCCAACCTTAATGATTCTATCATTAAGTTCAGCTTCTTTGTAGTGCCAGTATTAGTGAGTAAAGCAGTAATATTTCAGTATGTTGTTAAAAAAAAAAATAAATCAATTTGTTAGATCATCAAAAGCTTGAAAATAAATGTTCAGTCGCAAAAAAAATGCAGTTCATCACTGTGATGGCTAGAAACTCTGTTGGAGTAATACAATTGGGACCTGAAAATATCAATCTGAAGCAGATGCTTTGGAAATCCTGATTAAAAAAACACTTTGGCTCATCCGCTGGATGCTCTAATTGAGAAGAGTATTTGTCCATGTAAATGGTAGCATTGAGTTTTTATTGCTATTAATTATAGTAACATCCAGCCAGCACAAATGTGTTTCACGGTTCCATTTTCATACTTCCGCACTTAGAGCTTGTGAGATATCCAAATGACTAGAGGCCGTGCTTTTCATTTGTGCTTTTCATTTCATTACTTCAGGGGTTAAAATAACGCACACCAAACACACCCTATTTCTCTTGCCTTCTTGCTCACCCCTTGTCTTTCAGATTGCATAATAACTCCAACGCAGTTTTGCTTGACTTGCTCACCCTGGCTATAACCTCCTGTGACTCCAAATGACTGGAGGTAAATGCCTGCGTGACAGAAACTACTGCTGCTCCTACGTTTGCTTCATTGTAACAGTCAGCAATTTCCGCAAATCTGTTGAGCTTCAGTGATGATAGCAACTAGGATCTTTGTTGCTCTGAGAGCATTATCTGGGGAAGTATAAATTGTAGTTTTGGGTTTTTTTTTTTTTTGCGTTTGATTTCAGCTGTTTTGATAGCATCTTATCAAACATTCTTTCCAGAAAATATAACGTGATTGCTCATTGTTCTTCATTGTAATTTAGTTCTCCTTCGAATGAAGTCCGTCACACTGGACTGAATTTACGTATGGAAATACTCTGCAGAGGAGAGGCTAAATTGTGAAAGCTAATATGTAGACGTCACAATCTATTAAATAGCCAGTCTGCAGGCGCTGGGGAGAACAAGCTTGAAAAGGGTGTAGTACTGGGTTTCTCCTATTTTTCTCTTCCGGCGTCTCTTAGCTGTTCCACATGCCAGGCTGACGGGTGTCCTCGAGGGACCCATGTGCTGTTCCATGATGCTCTCCAGATGCAGAAGCAGCTCTAACAGTGCCCAAGTGCAGGAGACAGAGTAGAGAGCGGGCCTTTTATGGGGCTTCCCTGGGTGGTAATCCCAGCTCGCAGCCAGCAGTGGCTCCATGGCTCCCCAGACACTCTGTGACATTCTCTGATGCTTTTCCATCTCCTAGAGCTCCTCCACTCTCACCTCGCACCCAGGAATCTCAGGGTGCTTCCCAAATGCAAGCGATGCTCTGAATTTTGGTGTGCGTTATCTAGTGTTATCTAGTTCTGGGTTTAGGTAGCTCTTGACAGCATTCTGAAGTAATGATTTCATACATATTGTCCTGTGAGCAGTGGTTTTAGATGATGCTACTCAGCTGTGCCATGAGACTGTATGTTGCTTTGAGATTCATCCTTATATATGAACAAGATGAAGCATCATAACATTGACAGGAGCTTTTTTGCCAACGAAAGGGACTTGCTACATGATTTTTGTGATATTTCCTTGTAGTTTTCCTGCTTTTTCTGCATGCTCTGGTCATGATAGAGCTAGAAGAAAATTAATTGAAAGTTTTTAGCTATTAGCCTCATAAAAAGAAAAAGAAAGTAACAAATTGGCAGAAAGCCAGTGATACCTGGCAGTATTTCTCAGTTGTGCCTTTCTAAATAAAAGATCCAAGAGATTCAGCTCTTCCAGCAAGAAATGTATGGATGAAGGTGAAGCTGTTGTCTTTTCTAGCCAGTAAAGTCCATGCACACTGTGCTCTTGAACTCTGTTCCTATGCAGCTATTAGAAAAATGTTACCCACTTGGAATAGTGACTCAAAACTGCCCTTGCTCATTGTGCTCTTTTTCCGTATGGAAAGTTTGCGTTTCAAGCTTTTTGTTTCACGTGATATTCGGCTTTTGGTATGTTGTTTTGTACATTCTTCCTTGATGGCTTTAAAGACTGAAGTGTACACTATGTTTCTAATATCTTTAATAAGCTGTTCCTTACATGTCATCTTCTTTTCATAAGGTGCATGCCAGCACCGCAGCCTTGGTATAGCTCTGGTAGCGACCTGGCTGCAAGTTAGGAATTTTGCCTGAAGTGTACAAGCAGTTGCTTATTTTTAAACAGCATTCCCTTTTTAAGCTAATCCTCACACTATACCCACACCTTCAGTGTTATGTAGCAAAGAGGAAGGAGGTTTGGTAGGGCTTGAGCCCCCTGATTCAAAGCAAAAAGCCCTGCCTGCACTCTCCATTCCCTTTTATTCTGCTGAGCAGATTGCCCAGTGAACCCCAGCTTCGCTCCCTCAGATAAGCCTGGTAAATGTGAACTTCTTCCATTTTTCCTCATGAAGTTGCTTCTGGTATCACAAGCGTGTGTTGGATTCATTCAGTCCTGCTTCACTCACTTAGGATCCGTCAACTGTTGGGGTGAAAATTTAATTTAAAAAAATTTTTTTAATCTTGTAACTAAGCCTTTGGATTGGAAAATGCTTGGCAAGTGTTGCTATTCAGTAACTGTTACTGGAATTCCTTTGTGCTGACTTGAAATGTGTGAGACCCATACCCAATAGCTAATAAAATACAGGATGAAGACCCTTGCTTTGCGTTACACAAAATTTTGTGACTGTCGTAATGGAGTATAAGGGTACTGCTATTTTGGATTAGCTTTATTTCTCAATATATGACTCATGCATGACTCTTAGGAACACAAATTGCTTCTGATTATTCTCTTTCATCTGTTGAATATTAGTGCCAGTGCTTAATTTTGCTGTAGTAACTGAAGATGGCTTAGCTGCCTTCCCTCTTGCTGGTTTTAAAGCTGAGTGAAACTGCAGTGAACATGTGAAGAAAAAAATGGGAAACCAAACCCCAGAATGACTCACAATTGCAATTTAATTTGTGAGTGAAGCGAATTAAAAGAGGAAGAGCTGAAAAGACGTTTCCTTTACCACGTGCTGCCTTCTACCCCAAACAAATTGTTTAATTCAGGAAGTGAAAAATGTCATTGTTACAAACCTGAGACTGGAAAAGCAGACTTACTGAAGGTGAAAAAATTCTTCTGAAGGTGCAGATTAGTGGCAGTATTGAGAAGGATTTGGGAGACGAGCAAGTGCTGTCCCTCAGCACCCAGGCTGAAGGTCAGTCCTTAGCACGTTCTCTCCGGTGCAGACATTGCTATAATAAGAGCATCATTTACAGCCAAAAAGTCTGCTGCTGGCTGTCATCTCAGCCCTATAAGGAACTTCGTGGACATCGTGGAAGTCTTTCCTGGCAGGCTGGATGTTACTTTTAGTCAAGGAATTAATTATAGCTCTTGGGTGAGCTGTTCAGGTCAGAGGGCTCAGTTTGTAAAAGCATTGGTACCAGCCGGTGCAGGTGGACAGTGAGGGCAGGAGCAAAGATTGATATCTCCCTTTACTTGAAGGATTCAGGGATGTGTTTGTAGTGAATTTCAGTAGCAGGGGACATGAACTGAATATTAGTGCCAGGAAAATGTTATTTTTGAGAGATTTCCTAAGGTTTGAAATGTCAGGAGATGCAAAGATCAACCTTGTACATTTTTATGTATTTGGACTTTGAATTTGTTCCTTAAGCAAGGGAGGAGGAGCACACGAACACTTAATTGTAATTTGGTTGCAATTGTCTGACTGCTCTCAATTCTCTTTCACTTTGCTTTCTACTGCTTTGATTTCCAAAGGTTGAAGTGTTATCCTGCCCAAACGCTTTCAAATGTTAGAAGTATATGAAGTTGGTGTTCTGATGTTTACATCCAAATAGAAATATTCTTTCAAGCTTACTGGGCCTGATATTGTCTCCTTGTTGATGAAAATTCATTTTAGAGTGGGTCTCTTTTTTATTATTCTTTCGTTAGGCAAGAGGATAGAAATTATATTATATGAAATGCATTGTTGTAAGTGCATCTTTAAAATTTATTGAGTTGGAAGAGTTTGGGTACAGTACATTTAGCCCAGAGAAGTACCCATACAGTTAACTACACAGTAGGCATATGGTAAAAATGGCTGTGATCGGATGCCATGTCTCTTGTAGCACAGATTTTCTAGTGCACCTGTATAACACTTGGCCTTTTTGTTTTGTTTTTATCTCTGTATAAGATGCAAAAATAGTAGCAACGGAAGAAATGGCCCTTTCAAAAAGGATCAAATATCTGTGCTCATTAGAAATCATTTTACACAAATCATGGCTTCGTTTGGTAATGTTTGCAATTAGCAGAAGACAATACTGTAGGCTGTTTTTTTTGTTTGATTGGTTTTTTTTGTTTTTAATATTTAATGCAACAGAAAATTACTACAACTAAATATTGCTCTCCCTTTCTATGAACCCTGTTAGAGACTAATTTCTCACTGTGCTTGTATGGCTGATGAAAAAAGCTGTGTGGGAAGGTGCTGCATACCTGATTACTCCAGTCGTGTTCATTTCCTTATGAAGAGATGGAATGTGAACCTTCTCCATTTGCAGAGACCAAAGCATATTTTGGACATGTTTATACTGGAATACGTTTATACTGAAGTATTTGCAACAGATAGAGTTGTCTTTTTGTTTGCCCTGCTTAAACTCCCACCACAGAAGCTTAATCATGCTTTCTGTGGCTAATGCCAAATGATGAAACTTTCAGGACCGCTTGGAATTCACCTGGTTTTTATTGCAGTGGTTTCAAGGTGGTTTTCCATCCTTTTCAACAGAAGCAGAGCAGTGCTGGGCACATGAAAAGCCTGCATATTGTGTACGTCTTCATTATGGAAAAGATTTACTCCTTATTTCCAATTGCTTGTAGAGATGAACAATTACAACAGGCAGAACCCAGGAGTGTTTTCAATGTCAGTAAAGAAGACATAAAAGACCAATTAGCACTTAAAAAGTCAGTGCAGAAATCAGCACGTGGCACTCCAGATTCATGCTGGTTTAATGGCAAAGCTTCTCCTCTAGTTGTTCTGCATTTTGCATGCTACAGTTAAAGTGAAATCACCCCTACCTCTGTGGGAAAGGGAGGGCTGCGTTCTGTTTGCTTATCCATCCCGACGGGGTGCTTGGCTTCCTGAAAGCAGTGGTGATGCAGCAGGTTTGCTCTCAGCCGGCAGCGTTATTTCGGGGCACCGGGCAGACTGCCAAGCAGCAGCTGCCTTTGCCAAGCACCTTGTTTGGAGCAGTGACTGCTGAGCACTTCTATTTGGGGAATGGAGCAAGGCACTCGGCAGGGCTCGCAGCCTCCCAGCCTTCTCTGTAAGAGTCCCTGTCCACTGGCACCAGTGGGCAGCCAGGAAAGTTCTCCTGAGAAAGCAGTTTCTCCTGGTGGGAGCGGAGAAACCACAAAGAGGCACATTTGATTTTCCTACTGTTTTTCACAGCGGCAGTGGTATGCTACCCCTCCTCTCTCTGCCTTTTTCTCTTGTTGTCACCTCAGCCATCAGCTTTTTCATCTGCTGAGACCCCCATGTACCAATGGGAGCCACTCTGTCACCTTCCTCCCTACTTACCTCCTCCAATTCAACACTGACCTTCTCCTTGCTCTCCCTGCCAAGGCAGGTAGGTCTTGATGCAGCTCTGGGGAATGTCAGCAGCCCCTCCTGGCCTGATGACTCCTCACTCCCTGGTCCATGTCACCTTAGGGTTACGCTGAGCTACTGGTGAAGATACAAAAGGTCTTAGCCTGGTGTAGATCATAGCAGCAAAGTGACAAAAAAAAAGAGAGAGAAGGATGATCAGCTACTCTGCATTTGTGGATTACCAGACTATCCCTGTAGAAACTGTGTTTTGTTTTGGTAGCCGGAAGGCCCTTTTTAAACTCCTGGCAAGCTTTTTTATTCCCTCACAGAGAAGGAGTCAGGAGTAACTCCGTTAGCAGCAGTGCCAGAGGTCTGCAGAACAAGTCTGCTTGTGCCAGCAGGCACCTCAGTGAGCACAGAAGACATGGGTGCTATAGCAGGAGGAGAAGCCTTTCTCTCCAGCACTGCTTCCCGCAGCGGTGCTCCAGCAAGGACATCATGGCCTGTAGCTATGACCCAAGCACTGCTTCCTCTAGATCTTGTCCCACAGCAGATAAATATAGGGCTTGAGCTCCAGCCTCCTTGGCCTGTTAAAACCTGCAGCTCTCAGTGATTCTAAGATGGATAATCAGACCTGCGGGTGCATAAACACGCAGGTCATGCTTCCTTGGCCCCACCTGCCGTGATGTCTTCTGACACACGGGAGCAGCTTGCTTGGAAGCCACCAAGGGGGGTTAAAGGAAGACCCCTGACCAAACCCATTTCTGAAATCTGGCTTATTTGGTTTTGCTTTCCAGAAGAAAACCTGTAGCACTGCATTGGCCAGGCCATGGGAAGTCAGCGATTTGTGAGCGCAGGTTTGTGCTGAGAGCAACATGTCCTCTGCTGGGCGCTCAGTTACTCCAGCCAGTGCTGAGATATGTGGTCCAGAGCTCACTCAAGGCTCAAGAGTGAATTTCTTAGTTTTTTTAGGTGCTGGAAGTGTATGAACAAGTGTATGAACAATCCCAGTCCCTTGACTGGGATTTCTCACACATCCTTTGTTATCATCTATTTCTGATTTCTCTGCTTGTTCCCTCTAGCCTTCTTCCTGTCCTTTTGCACTTTCTTTTGCTCCCTGAAACTTCTCTGGATACCAGCATGCTGTGTGTCATGAGCACAAAATGTATGTGCCTTTGCTGCCTGATCAGTTGCTAACAAAGCTGTGTTCATTTCATGCAAAAGGTAGTTACCTAGGACTGTTTTCCAGAAGCCCTTTTTGGTTTTGTTTGATGTTACATGTTCCTGGAAGCTGCCTGTCCCAAGCAAGGTGGAGCTTGCAGGAGGGCAAACCTGCAACTGGTGATACCATTCCCAGTAAGGAATGCAAGACAGATTTTTGAAGAGAGCGTAACTATAAAATAATTGCAACATTGGGAGGACTTTCTGTGGTGAAGAAATGATTAATTTTCACTCTTGCTTCTTTCTTCCTGGTCTTGCTTTCTTACTTCAGCATTTAAATATATGGGGCATCCTTGTGTTAAGTGATTGTTCTGAACACAGCACAGTGCTGAAAATCGAGCTCCATTTCAGTTCCTTCATCTGCTGCCTATTATAGCATACTTGCCACTTCAGTTAACAGCCTGCGAGGCAAAACAGAAAACAAACTGTCCCTCTGTATCTATGTTTTGTGTGAAGTGCTGACAAGAAGGAAGATGCCTGTAGATAAATGCAATGTATATGACTTAGAAGATATAAGTGGAGCATTAAAGGGCATTTTTACAGTGTAATTATTATATCCAAGCATGAAACAATATTTACCTAATGACAGAAGCCTCCTCTTCGTGCTGGTTAGCTCATGACAAAGCGGTGTTGGAATCCGCCTCCATCCCCTCAGCAGACAGGAGCTGTGGACAAGTTTGCTGAGGTTCATGTTGGCTCACACAGGTTGCTCACAAAACAGCTCTCCGGGCCCAAGAGGATTTCTCCATCGGCAGCCAGCAGCAAAGCCCCTTTCCAGCATCTGGGTGTGCATGACAGCCCGGTGCTGGAATGTGCTCCTCCGCAGGCCAGCTTTTAACTTGAAGCTCTGGCAGGGCGCTGGGTAGCTCTGGCTCAATGACACAGAGCTGCTGAAAGTCAGTCACTTGGTTTGGGAACAAGGGGAAGCCCAGCACATTGTTCTGCTGCCTTTGCCTCCAGCTCCCTCGCGATATAAGCACAGAATATATATAGCCGTGATAGCAGCTAGAGGAACATGGACTTCCAGCATAGAGGTCACCCCTACGCGATACCAGAGGATGAAGAGATTGCTCACAGGGTCTCTCACAATGCCTACAACTCGGCGGGAAATGAAGGCGAGAAACCAGTGTCGAAACTGCAGCGTAGGCACAGTGACATTAAACTCTACAAAGAGTTTTGTGACTTCTACGCAAAATTGTAAGTCCGCGCTGTTCAGCTCTGGGCTGTAACTGCAGTGACATTATTGGCATACCGTCGCTGTGTTTTTTACCGTCTGGGCTCTGTAAGCCATACTCTAAGGCAGCCTTTACCACAGTTCTGTGTTTGATACGTTGCCAGTTGTAATCATCAACTAAAATTTGAGCTGGTGCCGTGAACTTAATCAGTAATTGCGTCAGAAGTTTTTATTGGGGTTTGAAGCAGGGTTGGTATTTGCCAAGTAGTCTCTGACTTCAGATTGTTTGCTTGTTTTGGGCAAACGTGCAGACTGTTTCACTAATGGAGGACTGTTGCATGCATCACTGTTTTTACATGCGTGTTTTTACTTGGATTACATTTTTTCTCTGACAGCACTTAGCATTAAATAACTTACAAGTTTAACATCCTTAATACTCAGGAACTGGTGAGGTGATGGTGAGGCTCATGGTTTATGTTGTGATTACTGCTCATTCAGATTAACTTAGGGTGGGTGAAGTGTCTGGCTTTTTTCCCCCTGCAGAAAACATATGTAATCCGTGTAGCCCATTGGCTAACTGTGTGCTTAACTACACTTTATACATACGATCACTGCCGCTTTTCAATATGTTGATCTCTCAAGTGTGAAATAGACTGTTCCTTAGTCTGACCTCCTTCATGAAATTTGGCCACTCACTGTTTTGCTGTAAGAACAGTGAGTATTTTGATGGCAGAGTTGTCTTCTGCAAAGTGCTCCTGAGAGAGAAAAAAAAGATACAGCTATTAATAACTGGTCGGATGTGACCTTGTGTATGGCTCTTCTGTGGTACAGTGTAAGCAATAGATAAAGCACATTCCTTGTGGAGCTATGTGGTAGGTGTATACTTGCTAACTCGAATGTTGTGCAAGGACTGAATACAATTCCTGTCAAGCCTGAAGGGAGCCAAGAGGTGTTATCCTCTCAGAGGGCAAGTCTTGGCATCTTACACAGGACCCAGCGCTCCGCACTGGCAAATGCAGCAGATTTCTTTACTATATCCAAATCTGTGCCTGTGTGTAAAATAATGTCCCAGTAATTGTCCAGACAGTGCTTTTGTCAGTTGTGGTCAGATTGTATGAAACTAGACTATTGCCCTGTATTTGCTCTCTGCTATCAAGTGATATTAGGGCAGAGAAATGACCCTGAAAGGCATAGCTTTGAGAACACAAGTATTAGTAAGAAGGCACTTGCAAAGGACAAGAAAGTGACCCTTTTTTGGTACTAGAGCCTTAAGTGTAAGACAGCTGTACTGACTGTTGCATAAGTGAACACAATCCTAGTGAAGTTGCAATCCCCTGATATTTTCACACTCATTCTATGGTCACATGCCTTTGAGAAGCAATCAAGATTGCTTTTTGAGGTTTTCTTTTTTTTTTCATCACCAGTTTTTGTTGCCCTGTGCCTGGGTCATGGTGGAGCACCCCAGCTCTGCAGCTAGAGCATTCCCACCTTCTCCTTGTCCTTGGTCTGGTGCTGGGGTGCTGTGATCTGCTTTTATGGAGATGAACCCTAACAAACCAACCAAAAACCCTATGACTTTAAACTATTATTTCTACAAGTTGTATATGGCTTGAAGTGATTTTACAGATTTGATTGTTTACCTGCTGTGGTTTTCAAGTAATCTGCCAGACAAAATATTTTAAACTCTTTCACGTTGCTTGCTTATAGCTTTTGAATTAATGCTGTTATATGCTCATATTCTAGAATTCTCGTATTCTAGAATTATGAATTATTTCAGAATTAACATTTATATTTTCTAGTGTGAAGTCCTCAATTACTGCTAACATTTGCCCTTATTTTCTGTAATTCAAATGTATTCCACGACTCTTATATTAGTTCTTTGAATTACCTGCCTTTTCTCATCATAAAGAGACAGCAAATTCATCTGTGACAATAATCAGTAGTTATTAGAGCACATTGTGGGGTTTTTATTTCCAAAGTGTTTGGAGCCAGAGGGAAACAACAGTTTTATTTCTAAGGGAGCACCACAAGTCATTGAGTTCATGGAGAAGTTTTCAGTGGGCAGCCTAGCATAAGGCTGATGCCATTGGCTTTGGAAAAAGTAGAGAACCAGAATCAGTTGTGCTGCCTTTGGGGCTCATTTTCTTTCTGTTTCTTGTTTTTGTACAGCAACATGGCAAACGCACTCGCAAATGCCATCTGTGAGCGCTGTAGAGGGGGCTTTGCACCAGCAGAGAAAATTGTCAACAGCAATGGTGAGCTGTACCACGAGCAGTGCTTCGTGTGTGCCCAGTGCTTCCAGCAGTTTCCTGAAGGGCTCTTCTATGAGGTAAGCTGGGAGAAGTAACTGCAGACTGATCGATACCTTAGCAAGTGTTGTTGAAGAAATGGAGTTCCAAAAGATTGTGCCTGGTATAGGGGAGAAGAAAGAAGAAATGTTTATGTGGCTGTTTGAAGTATATCAGTGTGTATAACCTTATTTAAGTGTGTAACTTAGTGTTACTAGGGCTGAGAAAAGAACTTTTGGAGATTTCTCTCCCTGTGCGTGTTTTTTTTTCCCTTAAAATCTATAGACTGTATATTGTATCAGAAATACAGGAAAAGCATTCTTCTTAGAAGAGAGTCATCAAAGGGAAATCCCAGCATCCTGCAGTCTTTAGGAGGTTTATTGCTGAGTGAGTGAGTGAGTGAGTGAGGCCTGCACAGCTTCTGAAATACTGTTTGTAGAGATGACCTGTAAGCCAGCGTGCTGAGATTGAAGTGTGTTGACAGCCAAAATCAGATGATGCCTGAGTCAGGTAAACCCAGCATTTAATATACCCCATTCACCTTTCTTTAACCCTAGGTGTAAGGAAGGGTAGATCATGGCAGACAGGTTTTATCATTATTATTACCTGAAGCTTGTGGATGGCTAGCTGAGGTTCAAACAGATTAAAGGCAGAGTTCTCAAAATTGTCAAATGTTTAGTTGCTTCTGAAAATCCTGTTCTAACCCACTTCACATGCAGTGCCATCGTTGCATCAAGAGCACATTGCATTTTCCACGGTGGTGTTTTTAATTATACTGTATGGTTTGGAGAAGGAGACTGGGCAAGGAGTGTTAATTGGAAAAGGAGGCTGGCAAAGGGGATTCCTGGTCTTGCTTTCTCTCACCTTGCTTGAGGATCAAAAGGTTTCTCAGTGCAGTAGAGATAGTGTTGAACGATTTGTGGCAAAATGAACCAGCAGTGGTCCATGACACATCAAAAGGTGGGCTGCAAAACAGTAGCAATTAAGGAAAGACAAAACAAAACACCCCTTAGATACTTACACCTTGCATTATTATTGTTAGTATTCCATGAGTTGCTCCCTGCTTGCAGGCATGGTGAAGAGTCTGCCGTGACATGTTAAGACCTGAGTCAAATATGAAGTGATACATACGTTTTAAAAGTAAAACATCTGTTGATAAAACTGTCTTAAAAGAATAAAAGGTATTTTCTCTAAATAATGAGCACTTTATTCATCATTTTTCTGACTCTCAAATAACAGTGGGACAATCC